AGATGGAGGACATCTTGGTTAAGGAGGAAATCAGTTGGAGGCAAAAATCCAGGTGTAAGTGGCTAAAGGAGGGAGACAAAAATACAAGGTTTTTCCATTCAGTGGCAAATGGRAGGAGAAAGAAGAATTTCATCTCTAATTTGGAAGTTGATGGAGCAGTGTTGTCCCACGCGGCAGAAATTGCAGAGGCTCTAGTAAAACACTTCAAATCTATTTTTAGAAGGCCTATGAACGGGAGAGTGTGGTTGGAGGGATTGGATAGGCCGACTCTAAGTGCAGAGAAGAGAGAGTGGTTAGAAAAAAGGTTTAATATGGCGGAGGTAAAGGAAGCAGTATTCTCAATGGATAGGACAAAAGCTTCGGGTCCAGATGGGTTCACAATGGCCTTTTACCAGGATTGTTGGGATATTTTGGAGAATGATCTTAGATCAGTTTTTGAGGAGTTCCACAGGAGGGGTGTAATAAACCCGAGCTTGAACTCAACTTTCATTGCTTTAGTCCCAAAGAAGAAAGATGCTTCTCAACCAAAGGATTTTAGACCTATTAGTCTGGTGACTAGTTTGTACAAAATCATTGCAAAGGTGCTGTCTCTCAGGATAGAGAAGGTGCTCCCCTCTATTATTGCACCCAACCAAGGTGCTTTTGTGGAGGGAAGACAGATCACCGATTAGATTCTCATTGCAAATGAGAGCTTGGAGAGCTTTAGGAAGTCAAAGAAGAAGGGAGTGGTTTGCAAATTGGATTTGGAGAAGGCTTATGACTTGGTTGATTGGTCTTTCTTGATGGAGGTGTTGAGAAGTTTTGGTTTTGGAGACAGGTGGTGTAAGTGGATCTGGGGCTGTGTTAGGACTTKYCATTATTCTATCTTGGTGAACGGGACTGTGGTTGACTTCTTTCCTGTGTTGAGAGGTCTAAGACAAGGAGATCCTCTTTCCCCATTTCTTTTCACCCTGATTGTTGATGTGCTTGGGAGATTGATCCATAGAGCAAACTCGAGGCATTTGATAAGAGGGTGGAGAGTAGGAAGGGAGGAGGTTCCCTTAACACTTCTACAGTTTGCAGATGATACTATCCTTTTTCTGTGAAGGAGGGAACTCCAATTGGATCCAGAATCTAAAGTTGACAATACAACTCTTTGAGCACATATCTAACCTCAAGGTAATCTTTGATAAGATTTGTGTTGCGGGAGTGAATGTGAACGAAAGGGACCTAAGGGAAT